CTAATGGTTTCGTTGTCATGGATTTCTATTGAGGTTGCCATGTGACCCGTTTCGGAGGACGCATCTTTTCTGGTTAGAGCGAAGTTTACTGGCTGTATAAGGCGATTACATATCCTTTCCCATTGCTCAATATTTGTCTCAACACCATTACCGCTTCGCAGGCCACTACAAGTTTCACATTTTGGTTCTGCGAAAATACCACGTCTATAGAGCTTTGGCCTAGGTCTTGGGATGTTCTCTGAGTGTTCGATTGGACGCCTTATCCAGAGTTAGGAACAGCCCTTATCAGTAGAGAGTGTCATTAATGAGCTAACTTAGCATCTCGGGCTTAGCCTAAACGTTACTCACCTGTAAACACGGAAGTGATGAGTCTCATGCGTATCACTGTACATGTGGGTTTACACATGTCTCCTGTGTCCTTGGTAGAGTTGGAGGCCGTAAATAATCGCTGGTAATATGTGTATTTGCACTGAAGGGATAATGCTGGACACATCCATCAACGTCACTCGGATGACACCTTCACGAGTAGATGACCACGAAATCCACCGAACTTCCAGCCAGTGTTGCTGATCTCACGAACAGGGAACCGGAATAAGAAACTACTAAGGGAAAAATGGATTTGAGTGAGGTTAATTTCATTTCGTGTTTATGCAACTTCAAATGCTGGACGTTTTTCAATATATCCAAATTAAAGCTGTAATTTACTATTTCTGGAAGCTTATTGAAAGTTTGCTGGCTTCGGGATGCGGCAACTTGCCGGAAGTCGAGATAGTTCTTAATTTCAACCGGTATTATGGTGCGAGTGGCTGGTGATCGTGGTCTTGGTTGTGCTTTGTGCGGTTTCGGTTTCATCATAATGTGCTGTGAAAGTTGGACTAGGATTCATATTGAATGTGAACTAGCGCCTCGGCTCCGGGCCTTGTGAGCCTATTAGGCCTGTTGAAAGTGATAGGCCTCATTGTCGATTGCAGCTTGTGCATCGTACAGGCGACGTAGTGGAGGCCTAGGCCTAGACGAGGCCTGTTTTGGCGGATCCCATTTACGTTTCTCACCGGTCGAATCTGTGAAATTTCTTGACAACGGATGATACTGGTGAGTCCTTTGCCTATGACGTTGGCCTATCCATAGATAATTGCTTAATCGGCACAACTTAACCCCATGGGCCTGAAATTGTTTCATACTGGTCCGTAGGCGTAGGATGTATTTAGCAGTGTAGCCAGAACTTTACCAATGAAGCAATGGAGGGGCTAGGAGGCAGTGGCGGCTCGTGGCCAAAAACCTGAGGAGGCCAGCTCATGATCTTGATAATGAACAAGAATTCATTGTAGTATAAATGGGAGCATGAAGCACGAAAGGTGTGCTTATGTCAGTCGCTGAGCGAAGAACCGTTTCATGTTTACAGTTCATATTGTATCGAAATCACGCATAAGCAGAGCAGAAATTGAAACATCCATTGAACACTTGAGTGAAAAGAGGCGCATCCGGCCCCAGGATAAAAGTAGAGGTCTGATGACTTTCTCCCCTCGTACAACTCTAAACAAAATCGCATCTAGCACACCTAGCGAATATTATAATTATGTATAACATATATTGTGTCTTTTTCATCCATGGCAACTGTGTAGATATAAATTGGCAATGCGAATTTGGATAACCGAAAAGCTCTCTAGTTGAGCCAAAGGAGCCAAAAAACATGCTAGCTCTTGCTTGCAGGCACCCCGCTCATGCGCAATGCAGATGATGAGACCTCCCTCCCCTATGCATCGTCTGTGAGCCAGAGGAGGCCACCAGGCTTTGGCCTCCCATACGCGATTCTGGGCAGGAGTCAACTGTCAGAGACCGGACTTTGCCCGTTTTGTGTCTATTGAGCATGAATCCAATGATAATCAGAGATTTCTGTCAGTTATTTGCTATCCTAATGGATATTTTCAATTGTACGAGAAAGGGTCACCTGAGAATTTTTGAGGAGGCCGGCCTCCCTTGCTTCCCCTGACGAGCCACCATTGCTAGGATAGGAGACCTCGAGCTTGACACCCATGCCCACCCCCCCCCCCTCCTCCCTCGTTTACATGGCTCCGCATTCTCTATAGTCTATGGCAGTGGTTCTCAACCTCCCTTTTACTCCCATACTTTTTACTTTTACATCCATCTGTTCAGTGTGCCGCGACACACCGGTTGAGAACTACTCGTCTATGGGTCCAACTGGCGAGTTGAGAAGTAGTAGTTCCATTGCTCGATGGATCCCGCTCCATGCGCGTCGGTCAAGCGCATAGCGGTTGGCATAAGCGCTTTACTTTCATTAGAAGGGGAGGGACAGTAAGATTGCTGTACCAGTACGGGAGGATGTGAGGCTGGAGATGGGGGAGGTAGGGTGACAGGCGGGGCGGCCTCCAGGGGTTTTTAGACTAAGAGAATACAGAAGAAAAAAATTACTCCTTGGAAATATGCCAAAATAAGAAAAATTGTCTGGAAATTTTCATTAAAAAAATCTTGCTGGCTAAGGTACTAAATCTTTTGCGCATAATTATCCTGAAACTGGCAATTGTATGAACCTTGGATGCTGTGATGCCTGCTGCGATGTGTGTGTATGTATGGCATTTCGAACAGCGGCTACCCTTCCCCTTGTCTCTCTTCTTCATACTTCCCCTTCTCCCGATTTTCTGTCTTCATAATTGTGAATTTTCCGAAAATGTTTTAGTTACAAATTGGTCGCAGGAGGGGGCTTCCTTGCACCTCCTCCCTTCGACTGAGTGTAGTGGCTACGAGCTATGCCTATCCCACCCCCTCCATGAAAGTGAGTGAAGGGGCACTTGCCCCTGCTAACCCCCAGGATAGGCGCGCCCGCAGAGGTTGGATATATATCGTTTTTCCGTGATGAGTTCACACACCTATTAGGCTAGTAGAACTTCGACCTTGGGGATAACTACGGAATACCAATTCACGTTGTATGTGAAACTAGAGGAAACGTTAGCTCCGCTCGCATCGGTAGGGCCATAGAAAACAATGGTTTGGATAGTGAGGGTGTGAACACATCACGAAAGCACTGCACACCTCTGCTATCGGTGACTATCGCACTCATTAGTTGCCTCTCGAGTGCATCCTCGTTAAGCGCTAGGGACAGGGACACGAGCGGGGGAGAGACGATCCGAAAACACCTTGGGCCGGTTCTTAGCATGCGTAGATACAACTCTCGTTGCCGTACGGAATCGAACTATGCCATGGCGTAAGTTTGACTTCATAAAACCCATTTGCACTTCGGCGTAGCTACACCTTTCGCAAGTCAGCTACGTCTGAGGCGTTAGAGAGATGTAGAGCTGTAGATGACGGCCAATAATATCGCTGGAATTACATGATTTCATGGACCTTACCTACTGAGCCGAGCATGACTGGACCGATCCTGCTTCCGTTCCGTGCCAAGATTCTGGCCTCAATACCGAGATACCATCAGGAGCGGTTATAATCACTTGTGCAAGCTGTGTGCTTGTGTTCCGTAATTCTCTCGTCGCGTTACGATTGAAGATACGAAGTTAGGGACGAAGAATTTCTGAGAACGTGAGACATATCTTATGAGATGACGAGACGATCGATTATTCAGCCATTAGTGAGTAGGAGCATCACGATTCGGCCATTCAGAAAAAAAAAACTTTTCATCTGAAATCTGTCTTGAAGGTCATATTTACTCGAAAGATTCGCAGTTGCGTTGCGTCGAACTCGAACTCCTCTATTTCCGGATGCCTCTATTTCGCCCATGTCATCGATCAATTTGAGATGCCTCTTTTGGCATTCATCATCCATCACAAATTGCTACGACTGAGGTTATTCTTGCTATTTGAATGGCGAAAAGTTGCGACGTAAGTCGAATCTTGTTTCGGAAAAAGTAATTTATCTTTTAGGAAGTGGCGTAGCTTCCGCCACAGAGTAAGTAGGAAGTTACGAAAGACGTGGCCTTTCGCCAAGTTTTGAGAACCGGTCCCTTATCTCGTACATTGCAGAGCCAGGTGACTGTCAAAACTTTTCGAAGGGTGGGGAACCACAGTACGTTAACCTCCTCCCTATCTCGTCCGAAGACAGACTTGGAAGACAAGAGGTGGGCAACACGTGATTGCCCGCTATTGCTCAATCTCCCTGGCCAATGTCGTTGAGTTGCCCCTAGCCAATCCCAAGCTATATTGAGCGTTACGGCAGTTCTAGGTGCAATGCGTGTTTTTGGCATGATCTCCAATCAACCTATTGTCTGAACCATTGAATTGGTTACTTGGATGAGCTAGTTTATATAAAATGGCCCTTAGGCTTAAATTAGCGTGCATGTGAGGAGATCCCTCGACAATAAACTTACCCTATTCGCATGTGTTTATTCGTGAAGGGTGCTTGGGCAGACTAGGAAATATAAGTGTAATCTGCCCTTTGCCTTTAGTTACCGTTTTTGCTTCTTTGCTTTCGTGAAGCTTAAGGTAGTTTAAGCATGGTTTAGGTGTGCAGTGGGAATGAATGATACGTTTCCTCGATTGGTCTGTTCATTAAATTTTTTTTCCCAACGGAAAGTTGCGTCTCTTCATAGCTGATCGATCCAGTTGTGTAGATGCATGTAACGAGATTCCGGAAATTCGACAGATTTGCTCCATCAATTGAAGTATCATGTCAGCGGCTAGATTGCGGAACGGTATCTTAGAATGCTCCAGATCTTCCTTGCCTTTCATTTATCTTTGACTTCATTCAGAACTATAAGCTAAGGAGATTTCCAGGACAAAAGACTGCTCCACAACCCAGCCTTGCCCTTTCCTGTGACCCTAAGAAGGAAGCACAACGAATGGCTCCCAAGATTTAATATTGGTGCTTCCTGATAAAGAGAGCGCTTCCATCGTACCCTGCAAAGTTCAATGCCATCATTTACTTTTTTTCAAAAAGTTACTTTCTATCTCTACCATAGTGCAGACGTAATTCCTTTTCGTGTCGTGTCGGTGATATCCGCTTGGGAAGAAAGACATTACAAGTGTCACAAACATGCTTTATTAATTTCTTGCCATTACCAAATACAAAAACTGACTAGAAATGGAAAAGTTTCATGAGAGGCAATGCTCTTCGCTCGAAGCGAAAGACTCATAATTATAACTAATCATCTTTGACTGTATGTCGCTGAATAAGAACAAGAAAATGTCGGTAACCAAGCCAACAACAAAGAGGGAAAAAGATAAGCACCAAGGCAACAAAAGAAGATAGAGAACTGAAGTTATATGAATATGAACAAAAAGGAAAGACAAGAAGGGAGATGCAGTGAAACGGTTTATCACAGTCTCTGCAGACAGATGGAAGTAGAACGAACGCGATGGCATCACACTCATACTCGGTAGGGAGTCCCAAGATTGTGTTCGGACACGGTTGGAAGTTCCGCCATCTTCGACAAGGAAGGGAACCGAGTTCCTTTCTTGGCGTTGTTATTCACATTCCCTGCAGAGGAGCGACTATTGAGCTGAGGGGAATGGACAGCGCAGGAGATGGTATCCAAGATGTTATTCCCGGGGATCAAGGGACGAGAATCACTGTAGCTATAGCTACGGGTACTGTAACGGCTCACGTCGCTGTTCTGCCGCCGCATGAGTTCCTCATCCGTCGGATAGGACTCGCAACGACGGTGCTCGATCTCCGCGTATTCCGGGTCCCGCTGAACGACGTGGATCTCGGAATAGGTGTGATTCCACGGGCTATGGGGTCGGAGGAGCCCGTGAGGATGGCCGTGTTGGAGCGTGTAGCCCACCGGGTTGTGACTGTACTGGTTCAAGTTCAAGCTTCCATCTCCGGCTACACATGGTCGCTGGCGACGATAACTGCGGACCGAGCCCACTGTCCCGCCCACTACATTGCAGTCCCTGCATCTGGGATCCAGGGCTTTCACCGACAGATCCTACAGCGAGACTTCCATTACCCCTCGTTGTTTTTTTGACAGTCACGTCACAAAGCGAAGCAAGTGACATTTCTGAGATGTTTTTAAATCGAAATTCTTGGAGGATGGACCAGTGTGCAGAGACGTTTGGTCATTCAAAGCTTAGTTTTCTTTGTTTTTAAGCATGTCAGATGACTCTGCATGTGAAATTAATGAAAGAAGTCCAAGTGAATTTATGCGTGTTTTGTTTTTCTGGATACTTCAGTTTGAGCCACTTGCTACCATTATGACATGACGGCAGCAGATTTTATAGAGGCTTTCCAAGACGAGACAGGACAATCGAAACGTGACCCCACAACGAAGAATAATGAGCATGCAGGCGCATGTGACGGACACACAAAAAAGAGACATGCACATGAACGGACAACTTTTACAGAACGAGACAAACCTGGAGGATAGGGTGCGTTTTCACAGGCGTGGGCAAAGGGAAGAGGTGCGAGAAGCTCCCGTTCTGGTGCAAATTTCGAGTGATTGCACCAGGCTGGCTGGAAGTGCACCTTTTCAAGGTGAGCATAGCCGACAGGTGCTCAGGTGCAGTACCGCCATAAGCCAGGTAGCACTGCAAGGATTTTTTTACACAATGCGGTACAGACATCAGCTCCCCATTGCGTCAAGCATGCAAGCACATAGCACAGTACACCGCAACAGTCTTGTCCTCTTTTTTTTTTCAAACGTACTATAAATTGATTCATTATGTAGAACTGCCTAGCTGTGGTCTCGGAAAAGACTTCAGTGAGGAGTACCGGTAACATGTTCATCCAATGGCAGCTTATCTACATCGATCTTTGAACACGGAACCCACAGAGCAAAGACTGCCCCCAAGACAGTGCACAGCAGAGTGTGGAAGAGCGTGAGAGAGAGAAAAGTGCCCAAGAAAGGGGAAACAAATAAAAGGAGAGCTTACGTTGCCATTGCCATGCTGAGCGATCGAGGAAGTAGTTGTAGTGGAAGCCGTCGGCATATGATGATGATATTGGACACCTCTCGTTCCCGTACTGCTACTGCTGGAAGCATTCGCCTGAACGTAGAAACTGTTCCGCTTGTCCGGCTTGTTCCCGCAGCAAGACGGCAAGCATTCCCCACGCTTCATCAGCTTCCGATATTCCTTTTTCACCTGAGCCCGAGCGAGACAAAGGAGACGAAAGGTCACGACTCTCATTCGTGCCAGGTCGCGTCTCTCATCGCTTCTAATCGTTTCTCCACCGCACGTAGATCGTTTGCGCGGAGGAATGAGAAATAACCCAAGATTGCGACGACGGAAACGGTGCAATATTCATTATTCATGAGAGGAATGTTTTAACGTGAACGGACACTTCGTATGCGAGTGAAAGGACTGTCCTTTTTTTTCGAAATCCTTCATAATGAGAGATATTTCACGCAGAGAGACATGGACCTGGACACTCCCCCTCTGAGGTCTCTGTTCCCTTTCGCAATGAGGCATGCAAGAACAAACGAGCGGACCTTGTCGTTCTGGAGGCAGGTGAAGAGGAAAATGAAGAGTCCCTGGAGCGAATTGAAGACGGTGAAGACGTAGGCCATGACGAGACTTTCCTCATTCACGTAGAGGAAACCGAAAGTCCACGTGAGCCCCAGGAGGACAACGAGCGCAAACGCTCCTCTCACCCACACTCTGGGGGATCACCGTGAAAATTAATGCATAATAATAATAAAAATATATCTTAAGTTATTATGAAACTCCCCCCATGAAATGACGACCTATAGGGGAGAAGAAAGGCGAAGCACTTCGTTCCCTGCCATGCAGCGGGCAGATGCAGACGGGGACCGAAGTGAAAGCCTGAGTGATGTGTCCTCTATTCAACTGGTAATGAGAAATCTCATGGATCCATTCAACGATGAGACCGGGCCGCCCACTCCGACGACACTAGGCCATTCTATTATATACAAATATCTCCATCTCACTTGCGAAAATCCCTCTCCCGCGACGTGGAAACTTTCACCACTCGATTATTACATGTTGCCAAAACCAGGCAACCCCTTTCGCAACGTGTGTGGTTCTTCTCAAAATGGAGCTATTTCTTTGGTGCCCTGAATTTCGAAATGATGCATCCTCATCTGGGATCCAAGCAGAGGAACCGGTGCACTTCAACTTTAAAGTACCTCATTATCATTACCACATATGAGCATCTCTTGGCCTTTCTCCTCCCTCACGATGGTCTATGTATGTTATTTTATCTTAGAAAAGCGGACTTGCAGGATTAGGGGGAAGGATCAGTACTCGTTTTATTCATCAGGGATTGATGTTGCTTACATGATGGTTCGATGCTTATTGCGAAGAACATTCTCCTCTTGGCATTCCTCGCTGCGTTGCATGCACCAGCACGGGAGAAACAAGCCAATTTCAGAAAATAAGGGAAGGAAAGGAGACAGAAGCATTTAATATTTGTTAGCCATGAGAGAAATTCTAAGCTAAAGCTTTATGCTTCCTCCATGCATTATACCGTCAAGGGTAGAGAACATTCAACAGTCTGCTTTCGCGGGATTACGCCTCGACATGCATATTCATGATTGCAGGGGAAGAGGGAACTCCTCTGCGGATTAATAGGCAAGGATGGGATCGGTTTCAAAATGTTTCTACGACTTACCCGACGGTGGAAAGACGGGTTTGTTCCTTCAAACCGGCCGTCACGGTTGCATGTCGACACATCACATACACGGCCATGAACAAGAACGCGAAATTGGCCTGTAAAAACCAAACGGCGTTTCATCGTAACTGCCTCCCAGAATAACGACTTGGAAAGAAGGAACAGTAGGCGACTCACCAGGAGAACGACGATGACGGGTCCCAGGAAACTGAAGATAAAATGATTGTCGGTCCGAAGCCAGCAATGCTGGGGGGTCCCGTAACTGGCGGGATCGATGGCAGCTGAAATGACTACAATGACGAGGGGGATCCCATACCCCAGGAAATAATACCAACGAACGCGGCTCCTTTCCGACTCGAACACCTCTATCAGCATCACGTACAGCTGAAACCCTGCAAGAAACGCACACATTTCTTTCCTTCTTCCTCCCCGTCCAAGAAGACTCCAGCGTTAAAAAAAATGACTTTTCTCTAAAAAATATACCTTCGAAAAACATCCAGGCGAAGGCGGTCAAGAAGAAGAAATGGAGAAGTCCGGCGACGATTCCACATGCTATTCGATGCTCCGTTCGGCCGATCCCAATCAGAAAAATCAGTTCCGCCAGCAAGAGACAGGCGCACAAGTTCTCATGGATCACGGTTCGATCCGACTATATGTAAATGAAAGAGAATTAGAGTTTTTCGTCGTCGACTGCTTGGAAGATGGAATCGCTGGAGAGGAACAGACTTTGAGGGATCGGAAGAGTCGAAAGGTGAGGATCGACGCTAGGAGACAGACGACAGATATGCTACATCCGATGTAAGTGATAACTTGAAGTGCCATTTCATGCCCTGGAGCCAGCTCCGTCTCGTGTAGGTCCATCAGGACGGCAAAATGAGTCAGGTGATCGCATTCGCATCTGGTGTGACTCGCATTCCAGCTCATCACCCGGCACCCCTCCTCTGACCAGCCGCTGCTTCCCATAAGTCAAACAAACCGCGTTTTTTTTTTTTTTTCCTTTTTCCCCCTTCCCTAAAACGAAAGCAGATGGGGGCATTTCCCATGGACAAACCTGGTCGTGTAATCCCAGAACACACAGACGGGGTTGGAGACATTGTCCTTCTTGAGGTGCTGAAAGGTCAGAATAACTGGATGCGGGAGCTGAACGTGCCGACCTTCGTCGAGCGACACAGACACAACTCGGCTGTTAAGGAGTTTCGACTCGTTCCCTTGAGGAGTATCCCCCTTATGTGGCGGCAGGATGTCGTTCAGAGTCTCGTACATGAGGAAGCCTAAAGTGGGTGCTTTCAAGCCTGAATGCGTGGACGTGTGACCCTGGAGGGCCTGGGGAGGGAGGTACACGTGAACCTCAACTTTTCTTCCCAGCAATTCCTTCATGCGTTCACTGGGGAATTCCACAGGGTGCACCTGAGGGCTTCCCAATGCATGCAAGGACAGGGCTACAATCAAATCATTACAAGGGCGTCATTATTTCTGGCAGAATACCTTCGACCAATATGAACGTCTGAAAGAAGTCTGACCGAGATTCTCTTGAATGAGCATGACGCTCTGTTCTTCCTCGAGGGCGTTTGAGAGAGCAAAGGTGTTGCTTTCGAAGGCCATGAGTAGCCTAGTCCCGGCTTGTCTCCTTTGCAGGGGAGGAAGATCCCACCAAGACGCCCTTTGTCGCACTCCCAAGATCTCCGAACCGGCCCTGATCACGTTCGAAAGAATCTCCGACGCCTTCGAGGCAATGTAATTCGTTCCATTTCTCCTTCTCATACATGATGATTACGATATGTTATTCGTTTCTCGGCTCACCATTTGAACATCAGCTTCGGACGCCGCAACGGCGAGAATTTGAAAGAGGTGAGCGGAGGTCCAGAGATCCCCACCATACAAGGACTTCGACGAGGCCACTTGGGCCAAATCCGTGCTCACAATCACTGGTGATTCCCCTTCCGATACCTACAAACCCGATAAGAATCAAGAGACGCTGCATTTTCCCTTCCTGGACGACAATGACCGGCGTTGCGAAATGGAATTTCTTCAAAAATTGCAGGCGGTAATCAGTCGATCGAGACCCATTTCCCAATACCTAAATGCGTTGTCCCATTCGGAAGAGAAGAAAGGTCAAATTAAATTGACGAGACTTTCGCTGCTGAGTCATGGGGAAGGGAAGCATTTGCGTGAAGGGTCGCTCCCCCCCTAAGTCTTGCTCCATAACTCCCAATTACACTCAGACTGCCCCCTGTCCCCAACTGCCCTCCTATCACTAACACAATTTCCTAGGATGACACTTGAGAAAGGCCAGTATCCTACGCTTTCCTCTCGAGAATATCGTGAGTATACTCTGCTACTCCCTCTTGAGAAGTTCTGGGTGTCAAGAGACGCCCATTCTCAATGAGTGGATGCCTTGTCTCCCATGGAACTTTCAGCATCAAATTTGTGTGGGGAGAGCGATAGGCGGAGGCAAGAAAAATAAAGGACGAGAAGAATAGCCTCGTTGTTTGAGGGCAAAAGAAGAAAGATCCAAGGAAAACAAGCATAGGGAGGGTTCCTTCCCTTCTCTGTCCAACGTGAAGAAAAACAAAAGGTCTTGCGATACATACATGCATTGGGAATGTCTTGTATAACCTGCAGGATGCCTTCACCCTGAGATAAGCGTTTATATCGAGCGTCCTGAATTATTATCAGTAAGCACGAGGATTGTATTGGAGGATTTCGCTCCTCACCAGTTTCCTTTAGTCTCATTCCTCTTATCGCCGAAGGAGGAAGGAGACGTGAAAGAGACATTGAAGGGGAGAAACAATTGAACACAGCCCGAGTCTGCATTGAAGCATTCCGGAAACCTGATATTCCCCTGTCGATGTCAATATTCGACGCTCCGCGTTCTTTCTATTCCCACTAGATCTCGGACATGACTCGGCATCTCCCAGCAGTACACCCCGAATGACCGACACACGTGAACTCACATGGGAAAGAAAAAGAATGAAAGAGCGATCGAAAGCTTGGTGAATGCTAATGACCGCTTGGATGATAATGACGATACGTTCATTATTAACGAGTTCTTTGAGGAGATCGATATCGCTGCACTAGCGATCAGCGCGCTCTCTCTTCCCCCTTCCCCGGATTCATGAAAAAATCCCTCACACACACGAGACCCTGTTCTCCCCTCCAGACCCGAGTTGAATAATGAAGGCAGGCAGCCTTCAACTGCAGAGGGGGGATGATGGGCAGAACCACACGATTTGATGAATGGAGTAAGGCAGGTTCGGTGGAGCGAGATATTGGTCGGTCTTGGCGTTTTTTTCTCTCTCTCTCTTCCCCGCATCGTATCTTCTTCATCCTATCTTTTTGATGATGGCATGCAAGTCACGTGAAACTGCGGCAGAGGGGGATCACGCCCTCTCCCCCTCCCCCCTTCTTTCAATAATAATTCTTCCCCCATCTCCATCCCCCTAGCTCCCCTACGCATCAGGCGATCAGGGACCTCGTGACTGACATGCACATTGACACACTCATTTCTGATACTAACTATCAACACGGCATGCTGTCACGTCGAGGATATGCAAACCCCATACGACGTGGTGCGTGATTCATGCTTCCGTATATATCTGTCACCAGAACCCTGTTTTCCTCGACCTCCGTTAATGGCTCATTGTGAACCGACGATTACACTTGAACGCCTGTAATGGTCGCCCCGTAACGGCGTTTGGGAGATCTGGGTCGCCTGCGTGAACCAAACACCGCAACAGGGGGAAACCGCAATCAGGGAAAAGAGAGCTGACTTGCACGGAGAGAGATCGGGAGCATCCCTAACGAGATCATCGAGACCATTAGGCAAATGATACGCCTAATAAGAGAAATCCCTGCCTCTGATTTATTCATGCCCCGCTTCTTCCTTGCTTTCTCCCTGCCATTAGGGAATTCTGTCTGTCTGACAAATGGATCTCTCGCGCGCGCTTGCAGCTGCAAAACGGGAATCCGATAGGCCAGGGAAACACCTCTTCCTGAGAAACGATTCCCTCACCCCTGCTAATTCTATCCATCTATCGGCAAGTCCATTCACGGCATGAAGTGAAAATAAGCTTCAAGCACTCACCCGCGATTGGAGATTGGTGAGCCAGATGGAGCTGCAGTCGCTGAGGTCCGCATGAGGTGAATCCCAGGCAGGGCCCAGGCATTCCCATCTCGCGTACCCGTTCGCACCGCCGGGGCAGAGTTGTATTGCCGTCTCTCCGGGGTCAGTCCAGTTCCAATATAACCCCCGGGCAGCTTTCGGCGGGCACGCATCCCGAGGCCCCACCTGCTTCCATCCGCCACTGTTATTATTTTCACGCTTGTCTCCCTTCGAAGGGCGCACGGCGCCTTCCTCTCTTTCCTCTTCCACGACGGCTGGTGATGGCTTCTTCGTCGTTGCTTCCGTTCTCCCTACCAAGCGAATCGATGAGGTTCACTTTCCTGCGTTATCTCGCGAGGAAGGTTCTTATCGGAGTGAAGACCCAGAAAGAAAGCAAAAACGAGGAAGGAAGGACGACTCTTTTTCTTTCAGCGTGGAGCCAAAGAGAGTCATTGTAGTATCCCCCATCTATTCATTAAAAGAAGGCAATCGTCAGGGTCTCTGTCGAGACTCTTGAATCCTTGCCAACTAACCACCATGCTCACACGGACTATGCGAGCCTACAGAGACCTACACATCTTCGACTCTTCCATCAATCCCCTTTCCCTTCCATCATCCGTCCCCAGTATAACGCTCGGGATAAACCATCGTCCCCATGGCCCTCGGCCAAGCGTCCATCCCCTATTATATTACCATGCCCTCATCCCCTTTTGTCATCTAAGACACTGGATAGCCACTTACGAGTGGTGGATGCCGCCACCGTCGTCGTCGAAGGGCTGGTTGTAGAGCTCGACCACGTGGTCGACTGACTGATGTGACGAGTTGTTGAGGACTCTTCGATCTTGTCCAAACCAGGCAAAGTGGGTATGGGTTGGTCCAGGCTGAGAAGGAGTTCCCTTTTGGTTTCGGGAGGAAGTACGGTCGTCATGACGGTCGAAGTCGTTTTTTCGGAGACCGTTGGTCCCATCGTCTTTGGTGGCTGCGTTGGGTTACGAAGCCACGGAGGGGGTGGTGGTGGTTTACTCTTGGCCGTTGTCGCCTCTGCCGCTGCAAAACAACCCCATCTTCCACTGATTACAACGTTTCTTCCTTTCCCCTCATTCTGTCGAGGCCAATACCACAACAGGAGGCTATTGTACAGAGGAAGAGCGCGATATTACTTGCTTTGCCTCTTTTCGGCGGAAAAAAGCGGGTAAGAGGAGGGAAAGAGAATGCCAATTGTTCCGCATGGATGGAGCAGCAATCAAAGATATGGACGGCATTAGCCTCTCATCCAATTCCGCTTCCCACCACCATTCTCGACCATTTATTACAAAGCGACAGACTCAGGACTTCAAGCTCCACTGCCTCCGGACTTCGAAATGAACTAATGAGGCGGAAGGGTCAGCCACATGGCACTGCCATTCATGGCAATCTATTCATTCAGTTATTCATGGCCGTGCCTCTCCCTGCAGGGCTTCGAAGAACCTACATAAAATTTTATCATCGATTTCCTCACTCCCAGTCTTTGTTCAAACCTGCATTCGAAGGCTCCTCTGATAACGTAACAAGGGGAAAGGAGTGACTTCATGCTTCGTATTTGGGCCAGGTGATTTTTCCGAGAGCAAAACAATTTACTTAGGAGTCTCCTCTGTCCCTGTGATGAATCTGTCACTTGATCCTGGAGCGTTCCCCAGCACGTTCCTTGCAACTAAGTCTGGCTATAGGATCATGCAGAAGATTTCTTACCTGGCAAACACTGGTAATGGGCTTCCAAATATTTGAGCGTCCCCGGGCATGGATCCCCAAACAACGTAGAATTGGCCGACACCGAACATTCTTCGTGATCGCTACACCTGTACGAAAGAAAGGGCCATAACATCAATAAGCTGTAAGTCATTTCGCGCAATATTTTCGGATCCTCATTGTGGCTCAAGAGGTCATAGGTGAAGGTTAGACCATGCAACGACCGAATGACGTGGGATCCATACACATTGGGACTTTCAGGAGGGCCTGGGGACAGGAAGTGGTGTGCCTATAAACACCGGTTACTAGTCCACTAATATCCGCCATTAGGAAGGACACTAAACACAGGGTCGAGGTGTCAGATAATCCTCACTACCAGGCATGCCATTCATCACACGCGAATGTGACAGGTCACAAACACACACAGAGACAGTGCCAGAAATGTCATGCCATATATATACAAGCAGCAGACATACGAGAGGGGACGGGGATGGATTTTTTCTGCATCAATTGAATGCATGCGAGGAAAGGAGAGCTTCTCTTACTTGGTGTGGAGTACTCGAAGCGACATGGGTGACATGCAGTTCACACTCATGTCTGTTCGTCCGTGTTCATTGCAAATGGCGATCGAAAATCGACCATAATTGGCCCTGATGAGATGAATCACGTGATCGTCGCCACAACGGAGATTTAGAACACCTCCTTCGCAAGCATAGGCAGTTCGATATCGGGATCGCTCTGAAAATATACAACAGATAAAATATTACTTAGGAGGTCTGCATAATATGCGGAAACGTTTCCAGCGTTTCCGAGGGAGTGTCGAAATACACCTGTGCACCTCAGAGAGGGCACGCTGAAAAAAGGGAATGAGGGTGAAGAGAAGACACATGGAAAGGAAACTGAGATGTCACCCGCACCTGGGAAGCTGAGGAAGAATTCCATCAGATGAAAGCAAACAACCCTCCCCGAGTCCCTTTACCCCAAGCATTCGCACATCCTAATGCACTTTCAACGGGTAAGACCATTATATTCCCCCACGAACGATTGGCCCATCTCAAATTTCCTGAGTTTCTTTCACGAGAGGAGTAGAGTCCCTGGTTCCTGTAGGGAACGGGGCGGTTCCTGTAGGAGTAAGGGGCGGAAGGAAGGGTCGGTCGATCAAGCTAATGGACAGAAAATGTCAATCAGGGAGAAGAAAGACGGACGCGATGAAAACAGCGGAAACGGGGGGAGGAGGAAGGGTGGATGATCAAAGGTTTTGGCAATCTTCTATCCCCATATCCCCTGTACATGCTAACAAGCCTACTTCCCTCTTGATCCCGTCTTTACCAGGGCTCAGTTAGTTCGCATGGGAGACACGTCTTCGAGCTTGGCTCGCAAACTTCTCTGGCTTGTATCCACTTTTTTTTTACCATCCCTTAACTTTGGAAATGTCTCGACCGATGTTGGAAGGGTAAAATTAAAACGCGCGTTGAAACACGTATTAGCTCGACGGTCGTGTCGGCCTGTTTCTGGAATATCCAATTGCACGAGGCCTCCAGGGGCATCTGTAAGGACATTACTGTGACGTGTTTACGAGGTGGATTCTTCTCCTGGGGTGATTCCTCCCCGTCCTGTCAATGTACCAGCTACTACCCCATTTTCTCCCTCCTTTCTCTGCGGATCACGGAGGACGGCATAATCCTCTTTCCCTAGCCCCATTTTCCGCTTCATGTAATGAGGTAAAGGGATTCCCTGCCTCGCAAAGCCGACTCACTAGAGGGGATGGAATCTCCCACACCTGCACTATCTAGGGGTCAGGGACGAGCTTAAACATCTTCATCCCTGTACGAGAAGGAAACGAGCAGAAAGCAGGGAAGGCTTGGGTTCAACGCCTTAGACGCACAGAAGATGAAAACAAAAGGCTCCTCTTCTTCCATCAGCCCTACTTCTCAATTAGGCCGCACTATCTTATGCAAATGCTGGATTCCCCCTCTCATTGCCTTCTCTTTCGTAGCCTTCCTTTACCTCTCTCATATCCCCTGGGATGAAACTGAGCTTCCGTCTAAAAGCCATGAACCTATGGACACTCAGAATGGAGTTGGATGGGTCGCAGGACCCATGATTATGGAGCATTTGTCAGGGCCTATAATGGCCGCTAATGCTGGCGCCTGGAAAGCGCTTTCCTCTCTCCCTCTCTCTTGCAAAACCGCCTAAAAACCCGCAGAACGGGAAGCATATGGTTCCCTTCGTGGAATGGCTCCCGCTCACGAAAATTGATGCGATGAAATAGGCGAGGAACATTTTCATGTTCTGATACCTCACGCAGGCATATACCATTCACACGAAAGCTACTTCAACGAAGAGAAACGTGTGGGAGTGACATTCGAGCTCGACCTTCCGCTCCATTATGACAAGGTTCTGTTCCGTTGAAGCATTTTCCATACTAGAGGACTCTCGGAAGGGTGTTGTAATGCGAAGCGCCTGAGAAATCCCCCCTCATAGGCAAAGGCATGAGCTGACGGCATTCCATATGTGCTTCTTCTCCTATGATGAATCCCCACGCTAGACTGCCTACGAAGGACGGAGTGCTGCATTCCCAGTCTAAAATGCACTCATTTTTCTTCCCGACGCTGTCTCTCCCTCCCCCTCTTTGAGAAAATACCTCGCTCTGCCATGTATTTTGATGACAAACAAGCATTCTCCCAGCTTCGTCGCCTTCAAAACCCATTTCACCTATGCCTTCCCAGAAGACATTTTCGCCTGAGTACACGGAACCAGATGGTTGAAATTATCCTCGCCCTTCGTGGCGGAAGGGGGGAGAAAATCACCGTCTGTGGAGAAAACAAGACCTGTCGTTGTGGTCTTTTTCTCACCGTGCAGTTCACGCCTGAAAGGAAACCCGAGCCGACCAGGAAACGGAAAAGTCAATCCGAGCCTCAGAGCTCTATTGGATTCTGTTGACCAACGGGGCAAACACACTCCTTAAAATACCAGTCTGCGGGGCTCCTCCCTCTCTGATGAAGGTGAACAAACGGGCAATGTCCGTCAAGTCATCCCTCTGTGTGTGTGCGTACGCCTGTGTCAGCAGAATGTTTATTCATGAGAAAAGAATCCCTCAAAGGATAAGCTGCCTTCAGGTTCCTAGGTTGAAATGAGATGGAAAATGAAGCAGACCACCGGAGTCAAGAGAAACTCGCCCCCCTCCGATAGAGGAGACAAAGGTCTCCCGTCATTTCAGAGAAGAGAATCGGCGTTGTGACGCTGTAGCCAGCGCAAAAGTACCCAGTTACTGGCGAGGGGGAAGGAGGGAAAGTTCGGGTTGACGAGGGGCAATCAGACATTACTACAGAAAACTGTGGGAGACTGGACGGTGTCACTGTTCCAAACAAAAAGCGTTCTTTCTCAGCCTCATTACCTATCATTACCTGGCAGAATCTTTCGCTCCCACCCTCTTCCCCTGCCCCAACAATCCAGGGACAATGAACGGACGAAACACATAAGAAAACCCCCGAAGTTTCGTAAAAGACGAAGCCCCATGCCTCGGTCATACGTATGCATGGAGACCATTCATCACATCCCGATGGCAGGGGATTTCCACTTTAACAACTTTTGGTGTGAACTTCCACACCCTGGGTTGTAAACAACGAGAACCCTGAATCCAATACAGCAGGAAGAGAAATCGACATGCCCTTCACCCCTCGAAAACTTCTTCCCACCCCCCCCCTTTTTTTTTGTTCTCTGTAACCGTCCAGTCTCCCACAGTTTTCTGTAGTAATGTCTGATTGCCCCTCGTCAACCCGAACTTTCCCTCCTTCCCCCTCGCCAGTAACTGGGTACTTTTGCGCTGGCTACAGCGTCACAACGCCGATTATGGATTACTTTCGAGATGCCAAGATTCATTTTTTAGTGCTCTTGAGTCCTGACCCTTAGTTCCCATTTGCAATCGCATTTAAATGCATGTTCTTGTTTTTCTCCCTCCTCTCCGTGCTTAACTCTTGTCAAATACATCTTCGAAGCTCGAAAATTCTGAGGATCATTGAACTCGGAATGGCGTTCAGGCTGCATGCGAGTTTCCTGACGAGACCTAACGATCCGCTGCAGAGCCAAGCATTTGGGAAATGGGGCGTTGCAAGGCTCATGTATGAGGTCAAAAGAAGAGTCCATTGAGGGACTATCTCAGGGCCTCATCAGCGTAACTCATCAACCCCCCAAGTGAAGGTAAATCCCTGGGACAAAGAAACGTCTCCTCCTACTATCTCGAGCATCTCTGGAAATAAACTAAACGAGATAAGAATGGGGACTTCATCGTGTCAGTGAGATCGAGGTAATGGATGGGAAGGACCTCCCTTATATTTCCCTCTGAGACCGTGCCCACCGAGAGACCCGAGATCAACGGGGACGGCAGGGCGCGAGAAACTAAAGACTGTTGCAAGGTCACATCGGGGGATGATGGCATGACGAACCCAAACCGAACAACAACAAAAAAAAGCCTAAGAGAAAAACTTCCTTCGTTACATATTCATGGCACGATAGTGTCATACCCCATGGCATTATGCTTGTACACGTGTTAATCCCTGCAGACACATACTCTCCATCTCGATGGAATTTCACGCCTCCTTGCCACTCCCTCTTTTTTTGCCTTCCTTGGCCTCATTACACAGCCAGCCTTGGGCCACTAAAGCAGTGTTGGGTACTAGCTACTTCAAAACCAGTTAACACCTGCCAAAATAGATCCACTTCGCATTTCCCTGACCAAGCCAGTTAGCTAACTTCCAACTTGGCTTTGTTTAGTAATTAGCTCAGGAAGAGCAATCTCATACTCATTTCAAATTGAGTTTGAGTGAGCTCACAGTGGAAGCCATATTACCAAATAAGTCACCAGTCTTGCCTGATTCGTATTTCTGTAACGCAAAAAACCTCACACGACTTCATTGCTCAATGAATGCTGAGACTAATGGGGGGAAATTGCCTTTAAAAAAAGGCCAACATTTTTTTCATAAAAGACCAGTTTCAATGACATCAAAATTGTCAAATTGAAATCTGTTTAACTGCATGAAAAGCCGTTACAACTCCTAGTTTACTTGTTTATGACAGTTGAGAAGTTCCAACTCTCAGTTATGGGGAAGCAAACCGGTTTCAACAGTGTAACTAATAATTAATTCATTGCTACATATCACTGGAAGGGAATATGAATCTGTTCCTCCCCTCAGGTGTGTCAGAAGGATCTTCCTAAATCCCGAGAGAGAGGGATTCCTAAATCCCAAGAGAGAGAGAGAGAAGGCAGACAGACAGAAGGGCATATCCCAGCAGGGATCTTCATAAAACACGACCAGGCAGATGGATACACTTTCCTGGAAACCCTTCTCTCCTTCAGCCCTGCTGGCCATAAAGTGACAAACGCAGCCCACAGACTCGCCATTGCATTGGAAACAGAGTGAATTTATGCTCAGGGTGTTGGCATTCATTCTGGGTCTCGTTCCGTGCAAGAGGGGAATTGATCCGTCGAGAGACTCGGGTTCCCATGAAGCCCGATCTCTTTGTCGCCGGCTTCCAATTACCCGAGGAATGCGATAAGCTCTTTTATGAAACGCAGCCGGGAGAGAAAATGAAGCTTTCATGCTGACCGTGGCCAAGGGACATTTATAAATACCTTGAGGGCGGGGGGGGAGGGTTTTCATATGGGGTCTCTATTTCATATTAGCGTGACTTCCAGGGAGTTTCTCACGCCTGAGGAGCAATCGGGGCCCCTTGTTCATTTCCATTCTTTCCAGCTTTCATATGAAGAGCACAACGAGAAGGTTTCCGTCGACGTGAAGATTCAGAATCGCCCCGTGCATACAATAACCCTCGACCTCGGTACATAATCGTCCGTGGATCGTAAAATTAGCATGAAAAAGAGCATAAAACGGGGGTCAACGACAGGTCCATCGTAGCATTGTCTCCTTTCTTTCCCGACGAAAATGCACGTGCATAGGAAAATGCGAAACCGAAAAAAGGCATAGTAGATGAAGTATCGGGTCGACCTCGTTGCACAGGGAGGGGAAAAGGAAGCGTGGACCAATTTCTCACTGTCATGTCAGGCGCACCTTATCGGGATACTTCCTGTCAGGCTGAAGAAGTCTCGGATTTACTGCCTCTGCCTTTCCTTCCTTTTCCACTTGCGCAAGGGAGAAGGACTTTGGTCACGCTCAACGGTTCGGCCACACTTACGGTCTCTCCCTCTCTTCATGGATCCGCACCAACAAGCATCCTGAAACTCTTTCTCTCTTTCAACCACGAAATCCACACCTTGGGTGTCATTCCCTTCATATACTAGGAAGCCGCTATACGCGTCATCTGGAAACAGGGAAAAACATGAGCCACTTCTTTAGAATTTTTTTCTATTCGAAGGGCTCCTCGACATACTGAAGGCTTTATTGTGGCCATGCAAGTCACCATCCTAGAAGCTCTGCATCTCACACGATAGTGACTATTCACTGACGCCATTTTCTGGCTCCATCTTCATTGCCTCAAAGGATGAGATAGGCTGGGTTGCTGCACGGCGAAACGTTATGCAAGCGTGCATCATGAGATGAGGCTTCCCGGTGGAAATGCCGCGAAGTATTCCACTCCTGTTGGATCAAGCTGTCATCGGAATGTCAGGATTATGCCGACAGGTCCCAGATGTAGGCAGGGCGAGGGACGTTGACAGATCGAATACGGAATACGGCATCAGACGGGATGGCATCTCA